GCACACTGCAGCGTCTGGCTGAACCACATCGTAGCTGAGTCCGACAACGACCCAATGTTCTGCTCTGCCACATACAACCAGTCACTGAACTCAACACCAGTTTCTCCGGTCAACTCCGGAAGGCTTGGCAATTCGACATTGCCTTTCAGTGTCTCCGACTCGGGGGACGACTTCTTGTCCAAATACATCTGTTGCAACTGCCGCATACCCTGGACCAACAGATCCATGGGAGTAGGCTCCGCAGCCCCATCGGCCACACCATCACTTCGAAGCCTCAGTCCATCCGGCCCAACTCGAGCATCACCCGGCGTTGCTGCCGAGCCCACATTTGTTGGATTACCATCAGGTAGAAGCCTCGGTCCTGGGGCTCCTCCAAGTCCACTGCTAGGGCCCGGTTCACCCCGTCCCTGACCGAGAGGATTGCCTTCAGGTACACAAAAACCTTCTCCAAGACCGGGTGGAGCGCCTGGGACTATTGTGCGACTAGCATCTCTTCCCGCAAGATCACGGCCAGTTCCTTGACCAGGCTGTCCTTGACGGGCCCCTTGGAGACCTTCGCCTCGTCCACCTCCACTCGCTGTCATCACCTCATTCAACAAACGAGCTGATTCATCAAGAGCCCGTTTCAACTCTTGATTTTCATCTCGAAGATCACGTAGTTCCGAATCTCGGCCAGACATTGCTTGCTGAACTTGCCTTTTCACTTCATCCTTCACCACTTCTTGAGAAAGGCTTCCGGCAGAACTGTCATCTCGAGGTGGGGGAGGTGCCGGTGGAGTAGTCAACGAAGTAGGTTGGGCGGTCCACGCCCTCATAGCCTGCCTTGTTTCCTCCGACATCAGAGGCTGTTCGTTTCCAGCATTGGTCGGAGTTTGCCTTGCCGGTGATGCTGTCGGTGGGTCCTCAAACGTAGGTCCTTGGCCCATCATAGGCGCCACCAACCTTCGGTGCAACACTTGGCTGATGGTTCTCGTAACCGACCATGAACCCAAACCTCTTTCATCCTCCGAAGAAGCCTCGGGACGCGGAGAACCTGCCAGGCTCTCGGATGAAGAAAAGACACTTCCTTGGTGGAAAGAATGATCCCCTCCACGTACTCCTTGGAGTGCCCTTTGCGCCCTGGACTGAACAGCCTGTACGACTGCCGCACGCTGATGAGAAAGCTGTTGCACTGCATGTTGCCACGGTTGCGACAAACGTTCTCTCCTGGGAGACATCGGGGTATTCTGCGGTAGCGGCTGCTGCGTGGAGGTGCTTGCCGGCTCAGAGGGTTGCTGTTGGAATACGGTATCTAGTGGCTGATGCTGCTGCGGAGCTGGTGCAGGGCGGTGTGGTTGCTGAATTGCTGGTGGAGGCGGCGGCGGCTGCACTGTGGTGTGTGTATGTGCGCGCACGTCATCATGAACTTCCGTCGCGCCCGGTCCGGTGTTCGTAACAAACTCTGCTGATCCAAACGGAAATCTCACTGACCTTGCACGTACATCTTCGCTGCCACTTGCTTGCCCGCTTCCGGAAACCAAACCAGACAAAAGGAACCCACTATTCCCAGTCTCAGCTACTGGCACATCCAGTTGTCCTCCAGAACTTCCGCTCGGTGCAGCTGCATCCTGCGTCCGCCTGCCTAACGGCAGAACAGTTGTAGCACCTGATCTCCTGACTGGCTGCTCTGGAGCGACTCCGTTCACAGCTCCATAGTTGGGGCCACTTGTTTCACCCTCTAAAGCCACACCCATTGGGCGACTCATAACCTGTTGTTGTTCATGACCAGGCTGCGTTCCAGGGATAGGCCTTCGGGTTGATTGCTCTGCCATCTTATGATCTTCACAGTTCAGTCGAAACCATGGCACTCGAATTCGGAAGTTCTTTTACGCACACCAAAAACATGTACCGTGGCCTGCATATGACTTCGCATGCACTGCCTTACGGTGACGTCCAAGACTTTACAAGTGCACGATACTGTATCATGATAGGATCTACAGATCCACTTGTAGCTTCGGCACAACGTATGTCAAGCCACATCAGCACTTCAGGATTCAACATATTATTATGATTATTATTATTATTATTATGATTATTATTATTATGATTATTATTATGATTATTATTATTATGATTATTATTATTATGATGATTATTATTATTATGATGATTATTATTATTAGTGATATTATTATTATTGCTAAAGCTATTACTACGATTATTATAATTACTATTATCACTATAACTATTACTATTACAAAGCCCGCGAGCTTGCTCATTTCGCCCCAAACCCGATCATCGGCACTCACTCTCCCCATCGTTCCTTACTAATCCGCCCCAATGTCTGAACCCAAGATGATAGCTTGTTGATGCCAGGACATTCTTGGGTTTGTTGCATGGTTCTTTCAAGACTGCAGTAACTGAAGTGTCCTAGAGTTTGTATTGTGGCAGTTGGTACGGGACACTGGTATCCCTAAGCCATCGCAAACATTGCTTCTGCAGGTAGGCCCGATGATCAATTCCGTAGTGTAGAGGGGTCTCTGACCGGAAGCGAAGTGGCCGGACCCGGACCTTGACTCGAAGCTCGCCTAAACCCGAACCCTAAACCCTAAACCCTCTGCGAAGCTCTAGCTCCAAGGCTTTGATCTCCTCTTTCCGAGGGCGGACGAGGCCCGCTAGTCGATTCATCGATCGTGCGCAGTGCCTGGTGACTTTGGGTAGGACCAGTAGGATCTGATAGTAGTTGTAGCTATGCTGTGAGCAACACTGAGTGAACGCACATCTACTGGAGAGGGAGGGAGGGGGAGAGAGGGAGATCTGAACACAGTGACATATAGCCGTCTTATGTGCTTAGTTCCTCGAAACCCTGAAGCTGTGGCAGAGCGATCTCCCAGTAGCAGTGGCACCGTCACTTAGCGGTCAACTCAGAAGAGCAATCCGAAAGAGCTTAGAGACTTTGAGCGACAACGGAATCCGCGCGAAAGTCTGTCAGGGGTTTGAGGTTTCGACGGAGACCACTCGAACGACGCCTGAGGGCATCCGAGACTTAAGACAAGAAAAAACCAACCGAAACTGGCCATATTTGTAGAATTTGAGACAAAAGAGCAAACAGTACCAACCAGGATTCTCGAGTTGGGGAAAAGGTACAACCGGCTCGAAAGAGACTCGACAAATTGGTAAAGAGGAGCAAGCCACCACAAGGAGCAAACTGCTCGAACGAGACTAGAAATTCGAAGACAAGGCGCAAACTGCTCGAAAGAGACCTGAAGGAACAGAACGGTGAAACCAATTGACGGAGCGGCACATTGACCAGAAGAGACAAGAGGTTTTGAGAACGAGGAACTACCCGCTCAAAATCACAGAGAGTTTGAAAGGAAGGATCAAACCGGTCGAGAGAGACTATCGATTTCGACAGGAAAGAAGACTGGAGAAAGAGGAGCAAACCAGGTGAAACGAACAAGACGCACAGAAACAAACCTACAAACCTTGCGACAGAGACTAGAGAACAGATGTGGGAACCGCACCAAATACATTGGAGACGTTGACGGACAATGTGCTCCAAAGAGATTCGCGAGTCTGACAAGGAGGGAAGTTTTGAATAATGTAGGAACCTGATGAAGAAACATGAAGAAGCCGTCGGCCTTTATTAGGGTTCGTTATATGAACCTTAGTATTTTGGGGCTATAGGCCCAGGGTATCTTAATCAGGTTCCTACTTCAAAAAAAGGAGCAGAACAGTCGAAAGGGGCCGAAAGAGTTAGAGGACATGAGAAAGTGATGCGGAGGGGGAACCTGAACACTAAGCCCGAAAAGCCAACACCTGCTCCATGATAATAAAAAGCCCTACTGTACCCAGAGCCTCCAAAACCCCTTAATGAAGGAATATACCTTAAATTATAATAGGATCCCTTATATGATTTCAGGTATATTCCTTAATTAAGGGGTTTTGGAGGCTCTGGGTAGGGGCCTAAGTAATGACCAATATTATGGTGGGGCTTCCTTATTATAGTTATAGTAGAATGGACCCCAAAACCCTATTCTAATTATTGAGGCCCCTACATTAGCTTAAACCGCCTGCAACCGAGACCATAATGCCCTGTATAGATCCGATAAATCCTAAACTAATGGATCCCTTAAAAGAATCCGTGGAGGCCTGTAGATCGCTTAAAGGACCCTAGAAACTCATGAATCAAGAGTTCTACTGCCGGCAAATTCTAGGAAAGCGTTGCAAACCCCATAGGCACAAAGAACTTCCCGTCTACTCCAAGAGAACGTTCAGGGTTTAGGTTTTCGGGCTTAGGAGATTGGACAGATGGGAAGTGCACCACTCGAACAGGACTGGGGAATTTTACAAAGAGGAGCAAGCCCCTGCGAAAGGATTTAACATTCTAAAACCAAAAGCAAACGCTCGGAGGAGATGGTGGTCAGTGTCATGGTTTTTCAGCGTTCGTCTCCCTTAGTTTGTGATCACAACGGGTGCGTTTCCACTCCCGGTGAATCCAATGCCTGGCCTCCTATCCTTTCATGTGCGCTCTTGAAGTCAGAGCCGGGCATTGCTGTCGATTGGCTACATTGTTTGGGGTCTTCGGTTCGTCTGAGTATTGAGCAGTTGCGTGCGTGCGCATGTCTGGCACGTCCACGGAGCTATTATCGTGTTGGCGATGCTACATACGTTCATGGCCCAGAAACGCAGGTAAGCACCTGCAGACGGTTTGGTCAGGCCGGGCGGGGCTTCAACTCCGAAAATGCGACTTTAGCCTGTGCAAACTTGGACGGTGGAAGAGAGCGGGTGTGGGGGTTCAAGATTCTCGAACTGCAGGCAGACTGCAGGCATTTGGAAGCGAGATTTGCAGCTACTGGAGCTTTTGCACGGTTGCCGTCATGTTGCAGGACTTGCAGCTGTTGGTGATTACATGCCGCTGAGCATGTATCGCAGTCTATACTGAGGCTTGCATCCAGGTCCGCACTGAAAGCACATTTTTCGCATCGAGGCCCCGTGCTTCCAAATTCCTCAGCCCAGCCATGTTCGCCCGCACAGCTCTGCTTCTGGCCTTTGCGCTGAAGCCAGCATCAGGTGACTGCCCATCCTGGGGGAAGCCTTTTCCAAGCAACTTAGCGGGATTGGACAAGATCAGCTTCGCCAATTTGTACGATGTGACCTACTACGACCAGTACAAGGTGGTGGAGTACTCCGCCACCTTAGCACAGTACGACGCAATGTTTCATCCGGAGGCATCGCTGAGGGGCACGAGGATCCCACCCATGGTTCTGTACCAGTGCGGCACCACGAAGCCTACGACGGACATGTCCGGTGTAGCTTCGGACGCCCGCTTCTTCGAGATTCCCGTGAAGAATGCCACGGTTGGGTGGGGTGGGCCACTGGCTTTCATGGAGCTGCTGCAGGGGGTGTTGCAGTCGATCGACCTCGTCGACATCCGCTCCATCTCCTCTCCCTGCATGCAGCTGTTGGAGGTCTGCTATCCCGCAACTTGGTATGGCTCTGGGATAGTTTTTATTTTCCTTCATGCGGAGCATAGAGCCCCAGCCACAACTGCAGTAGAAATAAACACCCGCTAGGCATCGATTTGAGTTAGTTTTGAACGGTTTAAGGGTTTAGGTTTCCGTCATTGTTTAACATAGCGCCCTAGTTACATTTTTGTTTGGGGACTGCTGAAATCGACACCTAGGAAGCCCTAAACCCTAAATCCCAACCCCCAAACCTACACCTAGGAAACCCACATTCCCACATCCCTCCCGGATTGGTCGGCGAACCCGGAGTGGAAGACGAGGGCAAGCCGCACGGACGTGGTGTTCACAGACGCCGGTGGCTCAGGCTGCTGGGCTCTTGTTTTAGCTTTAATTACCATGATAGGGATCTAGAAGGGTTCCTTTCAACAATGCCTAAGGGTTAAGGAATTTAATTTAAGTTCCCGTAATAGGGATCTATAGTAAAAAATACGGTTTCCTCCTTATGGTAACTTGAGAATTCAATCCCTCAACCCTAAACCCTAAACCTAGCTAAACCCAGGTTGGGGCGGCGACGCCACGAAGGACGTCCCCTTCATGGTCTCTCTCGACCGCGGAAGCCTCAGCCGCGCCGAGTGGATCAAGTTCCTGGGCTCTAAGGAACTTAGCTTAAGTCACCCTAAAGTAGTCTATTCATCATAAAGTAGTCTATTGATCATAAAGTAGTCTATTCATCATAAAGTAGTCTATTCATCATAAAGTAGTCTATTCATCATAAAGTAGTCTATTCATCTTAAAGTAGTCTATTCATCATAAAGTAGTCTATGGCAAATGCTATTATGGTTTATCTATATGGCATATGGTAAGTTAATGTAATTTCCTTAACCAGAACCCAGGTTCATGGCCCTCTTCTACAACGAGGAAGCGCAGGCTGATCACATCTTCGAGCAGATCAAGGCGGACTACAACGCGCTGAAAGCCATCGGGGACCAGCTCCGCACCGACGCCAGCACCGAGTACAACGGGGCGCAGCCGAAGGTGATGTTTGTGAACGGTGGAACCTCCAACAGAGTCGTCAATGCGGCCTACAAGACACAGTTCATCACCGACGCGGGTGCCCAGGTGGTTCCCTTGCCGGCTGTGGCCCCGGCGGGGTGCAGCTTTACCGCCAACACTGACGGCACGAAGTCGATGTCTTGTGACATCCCGGCTGGTGATGCAGCCTTCACAAGCTTCCTTGCCGAAGCGGATGTCATCATCGACGAGTCCTCCTTGTGGCCGGACTATGACCCCGCGAAATACCGAGGTTTTGGCACGATCTACAACGTCACCGCCGACCAGGTTCCGGCTCTCGCGCGAAACCCACCGAACATCTTCCGCCTCGATGGGCAGGTCAGCGATGCATTCGGGGACGGAAACAGTCAAGGAATGAGTTGGTTAGACCTCTCGCAGTCAGAGCCGCAGCAGACCCTGGCGGACCTCATGGAGGCCATCTGGGACAGGGACTTCACCAGCACCTGCGGGCAGAAGTACATGTGGCGGGTTTCCGACCTCAACGCCCAGAATGTCGTCGGTCACCAGGACTGCCCTCTCTACAGTGCACAGGGGCAAAACGACTGCCAGTCCCTGCACGGCCGCCTTCACATCCCTCCTATGTGCAGCGCTGGGAATGTCTTCGAACCGATGGAGACGACGACCACAGTTGAATCGCAGGAGGCGAGCGCCGCGTGCGAAGTGGGAGGTGCGCTTGCACTCGCCGCTTTGGCGCTTGCAGCCCTCTAGGCTGCCTAATCCTAATCCCGAACCCCTTGCTCTTGGCCGCCATCGGGGCCCTCGCTGGCGATGTGCAGTTTTAGAGCGTTTTTTGGCGACTCGTTTCTCGTCCTATAGGACCACAGCGAGGGGTGTTGAGGTTGTTTTGAGCTGAGCTCACACCCCAAGAGTGCATCCGCCGAATGGCGGTGCGCGATTCCGGAGCGATTTCGCGTGCAGGGTGCATTTCACCAAGCCGACAGCAAAAAGACTCTCTTTGCAATTCCCGTCGGTCGAAGCTTATGAAGGATAAACGAGATGGGAGTTTCAGACATATGGAGTAGGAAATCCTGATTGTAGCGACCCTAGACCCTAAATCCTAAATCCACCCACGAAGGTACCCTAGTATTCTGAAACTCCCATCTCACGGTTCATGTGCGTGGTACCGGGTTCAATCTAAGTGCCGTGCCGGGGCTTGGAAGTAATTGGGAGGTTGAGGCATTTGGGCTAAAGATGTTTTAACGACATTGTTTCATTCATAATCTCCAGCTACAGTCCCGATCTATTCTACCAGGTATAACTTTGGTATGATTTTTTCATTTCCCTTCTTGTGCCATATAGCGCCCCAATTATAGACAATCTTGGGGACGCCTAGTTTGAGTCTAGAGACGCAGGTTCATGTTAGGATAGCTTCCCATCGTAGTGCCTCCTGAGGATGTTCGGGTTTCGCGTCTTTAGGAGTTCTGGCTGCGTACGATGTAGGTATTAGGGGTTTTGGGGATCAGCGTTTAAGGTTGCGGTTTGGGGCATGATCATGCGGATCTCTGTTACTCGTCATCGCAGGCCAGCATATGCGACGTCTCGGCCATCTTGTCACGCTGGACGCTTCTAAAAGCCCTGCGCCCCGGTTGAAACTCTTATAGAATGAAAATGTCAATCATATTGCTGAATTCGGTCGGGAAGATATCATAAATTTTCTTTGTTGTCTTTATATA